CTAGCCTAGATACAAAAAGAAGCAAAAAAGCACACCCGGTGGGACTCGAACCCACAATCGCCTGATTAGAAGTCAGACGCCTTATCCATTAGGCCACGGGTGCTGTTGTGCTTTAGATGTCAGCTAATATTTTAATAACCTAAAGAAACAAGCAACTCCCTTAACTTACACCAGCGATCAGTCCTTTTTTTCTTTTCCGATGTCCCCGGAGGACCAGCGATCAGTCTTTGAATCCAGACAATCTTTAAGCTATAACCCAGCTCCATCATCAATCATCATTTGCTAGGCCTAATTGGGATATGATCCAACGTGAGTGAGCAACTAAAGACATAAACGACCACGTAATCCAACAACTATCGGTAAGCAACAAAGAACAGTGCTAGAATACTTCCGTGTATCATTTACTGATGAAACGCATTCATTTAAGGCCTTTTCCGTTTTTGTTTTCTTCTGAGTAACCTGTGGGATGGGAAGCTTTGGCTTCTCCAAGTGTAATAAGGAATGTCTGCTTTTGATTATTCACTAAACATCTATATCTATTAAAGTTATAAAGTTACTATATATAATTGACTTTGTGGTTAAGCCAAGTGACAAACTAAAAAATCTCAATAGTATACGGTAATTTTATTCTATATTTGACTATGTTAGTCAAATATATATATATATATNTTATATTAGGAACTTTTGTTATCTTAATTCAAATTATGTAAATACTACTTCACCTCTAGCAAAAAAAAAAAAAACTCCAAATAACTATAAACTCTTTCACATTTAAAATCCTATAATTATAGTTCTTTAAAACACTATAGCTAGATTTGAGTAAAGCGAATTTCTTTTAAAATAAATGTAATATATAGGGTACACATCTATGTTTATCCAGATAACAAAAAAAAGTTTAAAAGTTGATAAAAATTTACTTACATATACAATGAAGTAAACCTACATGCTGAAGAAAGAAACATTACAAAAATCAGTCAATATTCAACACAAGTTATTTTTTTCCTTTTTGAAAAATGTTTGTTTGAAGAGTCAATTTATATAAATGGATATAAAACAAATAACAAAACTTTCGCTATATAATTGCTGTCATTAATTTCTATTTAACACCTTCTAGGAATTGAAGGGTATAAGCCGAAACCTCTTCATTTAGCTGCAGTCAAACCAACATTGCAAGGGTATATTATTTTTTCATTGAGGAATATTAGTTTTGAATCATTTATGTGAAATATTTTTTTCTCGAATTCAAAAAGAGGGATATTGGTTTCTAATTGATAGTTTCTAGAGTTCATTACCCAAATGGTCACTCAACTATCCCAAATTATCTTCTAAAGTCACTTTACTTTCGTTTGTAACAACAAAGTCACTAAACTATGCCTATTGCACTCAGAAGGTCACTCAACTAGATTTTTCAAATTTTGAATTGCAAAAAACCTATTTTACCCTCTAAATTATAAACATTTATCTTCTTTTTATTTTTTTTAAAATTTTTAATATTATGATTTTCCTTTTTAATTTATATTATGGACTTACCTATAGAATAAATAAATATTATTTTATAAATTAAAAAAATAAAAAGTATTTAAGCATATATAATGCTGGAATAACAAAATAATGAGCATAGTAAAAAAAATTACTTAGAATAATTTTTTAGTAATAACAATTGTAGTATTAACAAGAAAAATTCAAAAATTTATTTACACAATTCAGAATGAAAGAAAATAAAAGTTGTAAAATATATATTCCATGCACGTAATATAAAAATAATTATTTAAATAAAGGTATTTTTATAATATACATTATATATTTTTGAAAATTATGCTCAATTATATTATTATGTTTCTACCAACTTTCCGACGACTCAAAGTTATGTCACTGGAAAGCAGGGGGACTATCTGTATAGGGTAAAATATGTTATGTTAAGTTGTTTATGGAATATATATAATATAATTGAGCATAATTTCAAGAATATATAATGTATATTATAAAAAATACTTTTATTTAAATAGTTATATTTATATTACGTGCATGGAATATATATTTTACAATCTTTATTTTCTTTCATTCTGAATCGCGTAAATATTTTTTTGAATTTTTGTTGTTAATACTAAAATTATTATTATGAACAAATTATTCTAATTTATTTTTTTACTATTCTCATTATTTTGTTATTCCAGCATTATAGATGCTTAAATACTTTTTATTTTTTTAATTTATGAATAATATTTATTTACTCTATAGGTAAGTCCATAATATAAATTAAAAAGAAAAATTCATAATATTAAAAAGTTAAAAAAAAATAAAAGAAGATAAATATTTATAATTAGAGGGTAAAATAGGTATTTGGCAATCCAAATTTTGAAAAATCTAGTAGAGTGACCTTCTGAGTGGAATAGGCATAGTTCAGTGATTTTGCTGTTACAAACGAAAGAAAAGTGACTTTAGGAGATAATTTGAGATAGTTGAGATTTTCAAGTGTAACAAAAAGTATATTTAAAAAAAAATTGGTATGATGTGAAATAGTTATTTTTAAAATGTAAACAAATTATTTCGAAATGGGATTAGTTTTTAAATTATAATGTCATTTTTAATAAAAGATAAGATATTTTTAAATTTTAGTAGAGAGTTTTTAAAATAATTATAATAAAGTCTTATCATGGATAAAATCAAGAAATCGAAATCTTATGGATTAATACATAAATATTCGGCCAGATTTATTGTTTACTTTTTTTTTAATATACATAGATGATATACCGATTACACACGATTATACACATGTTATATATGAATTATATATAAATTACACATCCTCAATTTTTTAATTTAAGTGGTTAGTTGAGCGCTTGTTTAGGTTGATAAGATAAAGCCAAAAGACAAATATGACATAATTTCAACCAAAGACTAAAAATATAAATAAAATTCTTATGTAGACAATTTCTATTAAAAACTCATCCTTTTATTATGAAATAAATTAATTTTGTGTAACAAAAAAAAAACATAAAAAATAAGATAAAAGAAAATAAATATAGAAAAAATGTATCAAAAAATCTAGATCGGA